CTTTCTGCAAACCCCTCGACCTGTCCTCAGTTACTACCAGTTTTCAGAACATTAGAATTCATTTTAGGCTCTAGTCTCAGAAACCATTTAACTAAGCAGGTCTGTTAAAAATATTCAGGATGCATTTTCATTGTATGGTGAGTCTGGCTGGTGTTAGCGTGAATGAGGTTGGGGAGAGGGGTTAGCATGTTGTCTGAATCCAGCCCATTGAGTTAATTTAATTCCGTTAACTATGCAAACCCCAAATACATATTTATTTAATAGATTTTGTCTATCAATTTAGCTGTGGGGTTATTGCAGACTAGATGGTTTTGGGAAAGATGATTGGGTGGAAAGTCAAATCAACATCTGTGGAAAAATAAAATGGATTTTTTTTGTTATTTTTTAATATTCTCTCTTGTATTTAGATCTGCCCTCCATCTAGCCCCTATTTCATAAGACCTACTTGTTATGCAAGTATCCTGTAAGATTCCTCACAACACAATTGTTATTTGTGCAATATCTTATAGATATAAGACAAGAAATATATCAATTTCTCACTCATGAAATTGTATGACAATACAATTTGGTATTGTCATACAATTATGGTATGATGGTATCTGGAACTGAGCAGTTAAGACAGTGGGCTTGTTGACTGGAAGGTGGACAGTTTGAGACCCAAGTTCTGCCTGATGCAGTGAGCTCCAGTCCAGCAGTTCAAATGCACAGAAACATAAGTAGATAAATAGGTACCATTTGGGGGAAGATAACAGCATTCCGCGTGCTTTTGGCATTTGATCATGCAGGCCACATGACCATGGAAGCATCTTTGGACAATGCTGGCTCTTCAGCTGTGAATCAGAGTTGAGCACAACCCCCTAGAAATGGCAGGGAAACACACACACACACACACACACACACACACACACACACACTGCTAAGCACCATATATAGATTGGGTATTTTATTATTTTACTTTATTCTTGGTTTACTAATGTATAATGCAAGTGTTCATTGAGTTGGTGCAGATGGGAACCAAAACATTATTTAATTGAATTAAAAATGCATGTGTAAGTACAGCAAAAGTATACCAGGATAATCATTTGAGTTTCAATTTTAAATCCAGGCGAAATGAAATCAAGCTGAGTTTTTCACCTGCAATCGTTCAATGACTTCTCAAAAAAGCTCTTATTTACAAAATAAGTGGTTGACTTTGACCCAGAAACATAGTTCACACATGGTTTAAAGCAAACAGCATAGAGCAAAAGCTCTGTGCAAGCACTAACCTTCCCATTATCCTCCACTCCCAGCCACCCCCATTCCCTTTCCCCACAGTGAGACGTACGTGAATAACTGAGCGCAATCATGACTTCTCTGCTGCAGCAAGACTGTCGCTCTCCAGACTCCAAATAAGGCCAAAGTAACATTTGCTGCTGACTGCACGTTAATCTTATCTCTGTCCAACCAAATTACTAGGCCAGTCAATGCTACACGAATATTCAAAGGGATGCAAATCTGTCAGGTGGACATGGCATCAGTCAGAAACTCAAACAAAAGTAAACCTTGAGAAACATTTCAAAATTAAAAAGCAACCGACATTGGCCTCTACAGGCAGGTTAAAAAAAAATAGACCTAGGCATCAATAGAAGAGAAATCTCTGGAGCTCAAGGTTGAAGTCCTTGGTGCTCTCTGAGTTTGCTGCTTTGCTTACTCATGTGGAGTAGTCAGATAATGAAATGTCTGCAAGGAAACCACCAAGCTCAGACAGCACTGAGGACTCTATATATTGGGGAATAATAATAATGTTGATGAGAGTTGACTCATCAATCTTCCTGTTCTCTCCCTGTTTCTAGCTGATCATCAACAGTGAAAATGTAAACAAGGCTAATAGAAGACTGTGATAGGAGTGTATCTCCTCCTACGTATCACAATCCACATCAAGTTGAGTTCCTCTCTCCAGGTTTCTTCTCAGGGATCAGTTTCATAATCAACTGAGCTTAGAATAGGCTGACTCTGTCCATCTCTTTCTTTTAAAAAAATATATTTTATTAATTTCCCAATTTTACATTTAAGTAATTAAAAAGCAATGTGGTGACTGGGTTAATCAATAGTTCAATAACAAAATCTTTAGTACAAATCTCAAGTTGCAACATCAAATAGTTCTTCTCTTTTCCCCTTAACATTTACTGTCTCGTATTCAAACTAGTACATTGGTTGTTCTTGCTTTGACATACAGTTCTTATTATATCAACTCAATAAAAACATCATTATTACATTTATCAATAAATTTTTAGCTTATACATGTCTTAATTACATTCAATCTTCATAAACAATCCATATCCTGTTATTAATTTTTACCCAATTTTTAGTTTCTCATCAACATTCCAATTTAACCTTTGATATTTATATTTATTTGGTTATATTTATAACCAAGATTTCTCTTATTTCCATTCATAACAAAATCTAATATCCAAAATACACATTTTATCTATTTGAATGTAATCTTGTTTTATTTCCTAAGAGTTATTTATTTCCCACCATATTAAATCATCTACTTAATAATACAATATTCCCTTTGATAAATCAAAACCATTATGTATATTACTTGGGTTAATCAATAAATCAAACATATTCATAATAATTGATTTTCTTTTTCCTTTTAGGTCTAATTTTTAAATATTAAACAGATAAAGTCCTTATTTTCAACTAATTTCCAAGTATTTTGAATCTAATGACCAGAATTCCCCTTATTTCAACTTCTCCCTTTAAATCTCTAATTAATAATATGAAATCCCCTCTAATAAGTCAAAACCCCAATTTTCTTTAACCTTATTCTGGCTTTCTTCCTTTGCCAATTAGGCTTCCATATCAGTGCTTTTAGATCATCAAATAGATCTCCCTCTATTATTATATATTTTATTTAAATTAAAGGAGACCATTTAATTGTCATTTTTTGGAAGGACTAGCCCATTTGTATTTGTTATGTTGTCTCCCTGTTATTCCAATTCCCCATGCTTGCCCTGATATGTTTGTCTTCCATTCATTCTGTTCTTCTTTTTCAAATTTCTTCTGGTTTATATAGAAAGTCATTTCCATTTTTAGTGTTGTCACTTCCTTTTCTGGATTTTTCATCAGCTGTATTTGTTGGTCAATTGAGTCCTCTGTCTTAATATTTGATTGTCCCACTTCTTCTGTTATCTTCTGCATTGTTGGTTCTTTGATTATAGTCAAAGTTTGGGTTTGTGTATCTAAGCTGGCATCTTGACCTTTTATGTTAAGTCTTATTTTATCACAAGCTAAAAGAATGGTTTCATGTATTGCTTTCAACATGGAAAGGATCTTTTCCTGGTCTTCATCCATCTCTTTCACATGTTTATAAATAGTCTTTCTAGTAGAAGTTGTTTGTGAAGCAAGATTTTATAATCCAAGGTATTTCAACATCTCATATAGTGACCAATATTTCTCAAATGAAGAGATAGGAAAACAGTTTCTCACTTATAAATCTGAGAGTCAGTAAAGGTTTACATTCACAGTTCAAGTAGGCCAGTTATGCCGCTCAGCTGTACTCTTATAGCTAAGTCTCTCACAGGTGGTGCCAAGGTCAGAAAAGTCTTATCTCAGGTCTGGGCTTTGAGCCAAGTCTCTTTTAGGAAATAACAATTTGTAGTATCAAACATCGCAACAAGATGTCACCAATGCCATTTAAGGTTTTTTGAGTCCAAAATTTTTATAGTCCTTTTTCCAATTTTATTTCTTATTTGTAGATTAAAAACAAGAGTCTCCAATAAAAATAGGAAAAAATTTGGTTCCCAAGTATCAAGAACATATAAATCCAATTAGATTAAAGTTGTTCTTTTAATGCTTTAATTCCCCAGGGTAGTCAGATGCCGCTATTCTTAGAGGGTAGAATAGAAATTCCCTTCCCTCTCTCCTCACAGGGGGAAAGATACTTCAGGTAGCTTTTACAGCAAGAGAAAGTACTTAGAGTAAAGAAGAGATCAGATCTCACCCAGTTTCATCTGCGTTGCTTTTGAAGTGCTTGGTAGTAAGTTTTACTTCGGCTGTCTGCAGCCTAATGATTGGCCATATTACTATGGCCAGTCTTTCCTCTGCCAGTTTGGAGGGCTGCCCCAGATCGAGCAGAAGGGCTGCCACCCTCCTGCAATCAAGAGCGGGTTCCCTCCTTGCTCGTCACCCCTACAGGGCGATTTTCGACCCTTTCCAGGGTCCACCACGGAGCGAAAAAGAACGCGGAAGACGGAGCTTGCCTTCCAAATGTCCGCGGCAGCCGCAGCAACAAACCAGAAGTCTCTGTCCATCTCTTTCTAATCTCCCAATTCAGAACCATTAACCACAGCCTGAAAGAATCCAGCTACAGATATAGTCCTGATTGAATTCTTGCAACACTTTTGAATTTGCATCCTGCCAACACAGTGGCTGCATTCCCATAACAGGCTTATTAACCTAGTTACTGAAATAACCCATTTTCTGGGATGGCCTCACATACTGGATCATCAGCTGGCCAAATGACCTAGTTTTAACTCACTCAAAGCCAATAAAGATAGCATTCCTGTAGAAATCCATCTTCTCTTTCTTTACCTGGTTAAGTGTGTTGTGTGAACACAGTGACAATCTGGGCTGGGGCTGAGAGAAGTTTAAAATCAACAAGTGAAATAATATTTGCCTTGTCCTCTTACCTCATTCATAATGTTGACAAGTTCATACATTCTTGTTTTTATCTTTTTTAAATCGCCTTTGTATTTTGTGACCTACAGAAAAGATAAAAATGTTAAGATGAGATCATAATTATAGGAAGAAGGGAAAGAAGGAGGGAGAGAAAGAACATATCAGTGAAAGGATCATTGAATTTGTTGATGTAATAATATTTTTTATCCAAGCAGTCCAAAGAATTATTTTGTGCTGATTTTTTAATCTACATTTGTACCATTAATATATTAAGGTTTTTAACTTTTCAGCAGCATACATGGGCTTTTTTTCCTGGTTGGAGAAAATTTTGGTCAGCCTACTGAAATGCTTTTCTAAATTGGATGCTATATTTCCATGTTCAGAGATGTGTGAGATAAACATTCTTCACTATACATCTTTTTCTTCATGTGTTGTTAATTTGGACAAACAAAGAGTGCAGGAATGTTTCAAAGAAACCTACAGAACTGTTTAACCAGTGTGGGATAAAAATAAATTTAAATGGAATCCAGGAAGAAAAAATGTGCAAATTAGAATATATTTACAAATGACTCTTAACTTTGTAAATATTGGTTGGATCCAATAACAAAAAATATCAAAGTTTATGATAAAGCACATTTTAAGAGAAAGCCAATTAGGATGTTTATTAATCTCTTCAAAAATGCCCACATTAAAAAAGGCAGAAACAAAATGCTGTGCTCAATGCAGAAATAAAATGGAAAGATATCCAGGATACTTACCATTCCATGGTCCACAACTACGATAAACTCAACGTATTTTTTGGCATCCAAGTATGTTTGTTGCTAAACAGAACAATAAACAAAAGGCTGTTTAGACATGTTGCTCCCAGCAGCCAACAAAAATGATGGTCATCATCAGATAATCAGAAAAGTGCTTGTTTTATTCTCTGGTCAACTTTCAGAAATATTGGTTCTTTCAAGAAGACATTTATAGGGAGACAGCTTGTTAAAATTTTATCCCTGGGCCTTGAGCCCTTCGGAATGGGGGCATGGAAGTGGCGGGTGAGCGCCTTCATCTCCACTTGCATGACCGGTGAGCAAGCATGGGTGGGTGTGCTCCATTTGCATGAGTGGGTGCGTGTGCCCACTGCCCACACAAATAGATCTGGGTGCACGCATGACCCTGCTTCTCACGTGGAACCATCCCCTCCCCCCCACTTGTCCGCAAAATAGGAAAGGTTGGGGAATTCTGACTTAGAAAAAGTGCTGACAAAGTTTTGAGGAAAAAGTACATTATGCAATGGATTCTCAAGCACAAACAAAAGTGGTCACCTTAAAAAAATTCACTTTCTTTGTATTAATAAGGTGTGGCACTTGTTTCCAGTTAATCTGTTCTTGGCATTTATGATGGCTACATTTAAAGATAAAGGTATATATGAATATCTAATTCTGAACCAAATTTAATAGGAATAAGAACAGGCACATGAGAAAATTGCTCTCTTTGACCTGTTTTTCAGCCTGTCTAAATGATGCTCCAATGACTTTTTCACCTTTCCTTCCCTTTCTCAAACAAAGCATCCCAACCAATCACGTGAGAAACACGGTGATGTAGTCATGCTATGGAACCAATTAGACCTTGCCTGCAATCATATCACACTACGTATCAAAGACAAGGTAAGGGGAGGCAATCAGACATTTTGACCCACTGAACTCACTCTTAATGGCCAAAGAATTGTGCCTTTCTTTTCATGTAATTTTAAAATGATTACTGAAATATTGCTTCAGACTTCTCAGCCACAAGGAACAAGAAAACATGGTTAATTGTTCAGAGTTGTTTCTTTATTGCTTTTCTCGTATAGACAGGAATCTTGCCAGACTAAAGCACACTGTGTGTAACCATGAGATACACCCTGTGAAGGTTTTAGGGAGGATCCCTTCAGGGCTTCTTTCTGCCATCCAAGGACTCATTGCTGATCTGCCTCTTGTTTCCCTGGGAAAGAGCCCCTCCCTCCTGCATTCCCCTGTTAGATTCCACCACTGGAGGACCCAGATTGCTCAGGAAGTAGACTTATGCTGAGACCTGAATGTGTGAGGGTGCGTTACTTGCTTCTTTCCCTAGGAAAGTGTACTCGTGTTTTTTCAGCACACAGAACTACAAGGCCAAATTGCCAATTCCAGAGTGCAATTTCTCTCC